GAGCATCTTCCCAGCTCTGTACCTAGAACCTGCTGAAACTAGATCCTGCTGTTCCTAAATGAGGAACTATCATTGAAGTATGGATGGTCTTTTGCAAATGCTCTACACTGAGCAGCTTTGTATTCACGTACATATACATTCTCTAAGTATGTGCACTGCTCTGATGTAAACTACTTTAGGCTAAGCAGATGAAACTCAGAAGGTTCTTAACATAATTCATCTCTTTCATTTTTTTTTTCCACCTGTAAAATTTCCAGATTGACAGAATGTTGAAGGAAATGCTTTACAAAGGTTTTTAACATGCCATTTCAAGCCGATCTTTACTAGTTCGGTTTTTAAAGAAGAACAATGCTAGCACAGAAGCACCACAGAAAAGAACCAGATAAGATAATAATATCTCTGGTGAATAGCTATCAGCTGATATTTCCACACTAAGAACAGCCTGGGAACATTGTTAGCTCTTAAAATAATGTTGACTTCTCCCTCTTGCAAAATAAGAATTGAATCAGGTTCCTGGAACACATTTTCCTTTCTAATTTTCTAAGATTTGTTTTGACTCCGATGAGTGAAATGTTGGAGTGAATTTACAATATGCCAAAACCTTAATTCCTTTACAATTCCTTGCAATGAGCAAGATCTTGGAAAATCTGATCCACCCTCCGTTCCCATTTCTGCAGACTATTATATAGGAGTCACATAATAAAATAACCTTCTATATGCAAGTTCTGTAAAAACAAACAAGAGTTTAGTACAAAATATACAAGCGAAAAAAAACACAAGGGCAGTTTAGAAACAGTGCAGTCTGTTTCGTGAGTGGCTGGGGAAAGGAAACTGACACCTGCCACATTTGTCAACAGAAAGTTCATAGAATATAGAGAACTAGTTCAGAACTAGAACATTACTTGAACTAGTAATGAAGCACGAAATACAATAATCTGAGATGGGTTGGGCAAACACACACATCCTCCATCTCCAGAATGAGGAATTTAAGCCCATCCAGATATTGCTGAATTACATGGTCCAAAATCTCAGCAAATAGTAGGACCTAATATGGCTTAGAAACTAAGCAGAGTTAGGCCTGATTATGACTTGGATGGGAGATTAGTAGGAGATCCCAGGGCTATGAGCTAGACTGCAAAGTTTAAAAACTTTCCAGAAGAAGACAGAGGCAATCCGATTTATGTCTTTATTTTATTTATATATCAAATTTGTCACCGCCCATCTCGTTCAAAAGCGACTCTGGACAGTTTACAGAAAAGGTAAATATTAATTAAAAATACAATATAACAGTAGTCCTAAATAAATAATAAGTATATTCCAAGGATTGATGGTAAGTAGAAAGTATTATGCTCGAGGAGCAACTTAGGAGGGCCAGCCACCCCCAGGGTTGGTTCAAACTCTTGTTGCCCCACAAAGCTGGCAGGCTTTAGTTAGTCTTTAGGTCTTTCTGGAAAGCCGGGAGGGTAGGGGCCCGCCGCACCTGTGGGGGGAGAATATTCCAGAGGACGGGGGCAATGGCAGAGAAGGCTTTCCTCCTGGGCCCCGCCAGCCAACATCCTTTCACTGATGAGGTCCATAACATGCCTTAACATGTCCGTAAGGTTGCCAAGAAAGCAACAGGAATGGATTGAGTTCAACTCGAAGGAGACTCTTTACAACTTTCAGAAGTTTCCATCCAGCATGGCCACTGGTAAGGTGTGCTGAAGGTAAGGTGGGTTCAGTTGCAAAGGTTTTCTATTAAGGCGGGGTGGGTGGGAATAAATGAGAAAACCACCAACCTGTGACTGCTACTGTTGTAAGCCGCATTGCCATGAAGAACATAGGATACGGTGCAGCAGAACAAAATTACTGCTGTATAAGTCCACATAGGGAAAGCACAACTCAGATGGTTGCGTGGTTGGCTACAGGCATAGCCTGACAACCACATTAAAGTGTTTTCTTGCAGTCTTTGGCCTGACAGAAAAGCTGTTTGGCCCAGCTTTTCTGCCAGACCAAAAGTGAAGTGACTGATGCTCTCTCTTTAATTTCTCTTCCCATCAGTCCCCTCCCACCATTGTGCTGTCAGTGGGAAAATAACCACCAATTACTCTCCTAACCTGGGCATGGAAGGGCCGGGCAAGTGTGGGCAGGCACTTGGAATTGCTTGTTTAGCTATTTTCATGTTGCCCAACAGATCACAGGCCTGCGACCTGTCTGTCAGGCTATTTCTGACTGTAGGTCTAGCGCGCTTCCGAAAGAACACTAAACCTGTGTCTGAAAGTAGCCCAGCTGAAGAGCCGCAGGACTGATGTGACAATTGTGAGGAACATTTGGGGCATTTTGTATATATGATTAGTTTGCGTGGTTAGTTTATAGTTTAGCATGTTGTACAAACCTAGACCATCAGGCTGAGTAAATCCTGGCTCAGCTAAGCATGGAGCACAACAGGCAAGATGTGAGTCCATCTTCTACCCTAATTATTATTTAATTATAAGGCATCATTTTCAAGGCTGCTGTGAGCATTTTTTAAAGCTGGCATTCTGTGGATTAAGCTCACGTGGGCAGTTACTTCACCAACCTAGCAGTGCAATATCTGGGAACCCAGGAAAATGTACTGTTTTTTTCTCCTTTAAAATAAATACATGAATGGACTTTGATTTTCAAGCCTGGGCATTTCTTCTGCTTTTCTGTCTTGTACTGATTAAACGCAACCTTAGATTGCTTGTGCTGTCTTGGATCAACCTTTGATCCTTTTCCTGTAGCTCTGCCTTTCAAGGCACTTTGATTGCAGCCCTGAACAGTTGATAATGCTTATCTCAATGCTCCTAAGCCTTTACTTTGAATCCAACCTGCTGTAAATAATGGAGCAGACCACTTAGGATTCTCCTAAGGGGCCCTGAATATGTAATTTTCTGTCCTTAGCATTAAACTGCTTGGGCATTTCCAAAAGCGCAGGTAGGCGTAGGTCACCAAATGATGATTAGCTTTTTTGACATACAGCCTTCATCCTATGCTATCCTCAGACATTCCAAATAAACCTTGATTCTGTTACTCTAATGCAGTGTTTCTCAACCTTGGCAACTTTCAGACGTGTGGACTTCAACTCCCAGAAATCCCCAGCCAGCTGTTCTGGCTGGGGAATTCTGGGAGTTGAAGCCCACACGTCTGAAAGTTGCCAAGGTTGAGAAACATTGCTTTATTGAATGAAGAGTTATTTTTAAGGAACTGTGGTGAAATTGTTCTCTGCAATCTTGTTTTGGGATTCCTTGGAAGCCAATCCCACACAGTTCAGTGGAACAGACGCTGACGTTCAAAAGCCAGCCACAAATACTAGTTTTTTTAACAGTTCACACAATACACTTCACCAAGTCAGTTGACCAGCAAAGGGTTGTGTAGGAATGGGCAGGGGAGATGAATCTGATCATGAACCCGAGTATGTGGAAGTTGAACCTGCATATGAGGACATGTGTGGTGGGCTGGCATACGAGAATGTGGGCATCTGTGATAGAAACTCTACTCAGTGTTCTTGTCAAGAGTGATGTATTCCTTCCCAATGACATGCCTATGCAATTTTT